GACACTCTTTCCTAGACAATCTTTCTTGACGCTCTTTCTTGACACTCTTGCCTGACACTCTTTGCGGGACACTCTTGTTGGACACTCTTTGCTAGACAGGACATTCTTGCTGGACACTCTTGCTTGACACTCTTTCTTGACACTCTTTGCTAGACACTCTATCTTGACCCTCTTTGCTAGACACTCTGGCTTGACACGTTTGCTGGGCACTCTTTGCTAAACACTCTGGCTTGACACGTTTGCTGTGCACTCTTGCTGGGCACTCTTTGCTAGACACTCTTGCTTGACACTCTTTCTTGACACTCTTTGCTAGACACTCTTTCTTGACACTCTTAGCTAGACACTCTATCTTGACACTCTTGCTTGACACGGTTGCTGGACACTCTTGCTGGACACTCTTTGCTAGACATTCTTGCTGGACACTCTTGCGTGACACTCTGCTAGACACTCTTGCTGGACACTCTTTGCTAGACACTCTTGCTTGACACTCTTGCTAGACACTCTTTCTTGACACTCTTTGCTAGACAATCTTTCTTGACACTTGTTCTTGACACTCTTGCTTGACACTCTTGCTGGACACTCTTGCTTCACACTCTTGCTGGACACTCTTGACACGACACTCTTGCTTGACACTCTTTCTCGACAATCTTTCTTGACACTTTCTCTTGACACTCTTGCTTGACACTCTTTCTTGACACTCTTGCTGGACACTCTTGCTTGACACTCTGCTAGACACTCTTGCTGGACACTCTTGCTTGACACTCTCTCTTGGCACTCTTTGCTAGACACTCTTGCTCGACACTCTTGCTTGGCACTCTTGCTGTGCAGGGCACTCTTTGCTAGACACTCTTGCTTGACACTCTGCTAGACACTCTTGCTGGACACTCTTTGCTAGACACTCTAGCTGGGCAGGACACTCTGCTAGACACTCTTGAAATGACATTCTGCTAGACACTCTTGCTGGGCAGGACGCTCTGCTAGACACTCTTGCTGGACACTCTTGAAATGACATTCTGCTAGACACTCTTGCTAGACACTCTTTCTTGACACTCTTTGCGAGACATTTTGCTAGAAAGTGTAACACAGACAAAGTCCTGCCAGGTATATGTCACTTTGCGACGTGGCAGTCTCCAAAACAAGCGTTTCGTACGAGACTCCTCCAAAAGTCGAGACTTCCTCCAAAAGTCACACGTCAAGTCTCCAAAACGAGCGTTTCGTACGAGACGTCCTCCAACAGTCGCGTGTCAAGTCTCCAAAACGAGCGTTTCGTACGAGACTTCCTCCAAAAGTCACACGTCATGGCTCCAAAACGAGCGTTTCGTACGAGACTTCCTCAAAAACTCACATGTCAAAGTCTGCAAAACGAGCGTTTCGTACGAGACTTCCAAAGTCAAGCGGAAACACCCATCGGAGCACACCCATCGCGCAGCCCTGCCAAGCAGTTTCGCGATTCCAGCCCCTCCAAACAACACCCGCGCACACGCCAATCCCAATGTCCCAGCGACGTTCACTTCTACCACAACTCACAGCCTCACGATTCCCTGCGCCCGCCACGAATCTTTCCACATCCACACGCCTAACGCGCACAAAGTCCTGCGTCTGCCACGAAATGTCACCTCCGTCACACATCGCAACCTCACGATTCCCTGCGCCTGCCACGAAAATCGCACTTCCACGCCTCAAAACCCGCACAAAGTACTGCGCCTGCCACGAAAAGTGACAATGTCATCTCATGTGAGCTTCAACAAGACTTGCACCACACCACACGTTTGGAATGATTTCGGCCCGTTCTGAGCACACTCCCATCCACCAAAATCACCATTTCAGCTGAGACTTGTCACGACAACAGCGCTTCGATGCCACACCCTGAAACGCACACCCCAATGGCGCGGCCACATCCAACACCCCAAAAACACGATTCTCCAAACGCTAATCTCATCACGGAAAACCCTGTGCCTGTGCAGCGAAATGTATCACGTTTCTTGCGCGACATGTCACTTTCATGCAAATCACAATGTAATAGCGGCGCAAACTGACATGTGACACATCCATGAAAAGTCACTTGCAAAAGCTTCCCCCAATGGCAGGGCCATAGAGACATCATACGGACGGTTGCGGACAGTTGCGGACGGTTGCGAACTCGAAAACAACGTCGGGCAAACACAGCCCTACCCTCAGACTCCCAAGTTAAACGAGAACCCTTCACTACGCATTCGGGAAAAGGGTAGAGGGTGAAAAAAGAAGGTTCAGATGGTGAAAAAGAAAGGTGGAGGGTGAAAAAGGGCGGGCAAGGTTGCCCATTGGTTTCCGGCACCTCAACTCATCGCCAGGAGTTTGGTTGGCGCTGGCACTGGACGTGAGACTGGCAACTGTTTACTGAATCGGCAAGCAGTTCTGCCAATGCTGAAGCCCACCCAAACCCAACAAGCCTCCAATGGCAATGACTTTGCGTAATACAATAAGTAAGGCTAACGCCCTGGTGTCGCCGACCCCTGAACTGAAAGCTCCTCCATAGAATCTTGGAATGAGAGGAGGCATGAGAACGTCTCCCGTCAAACGAGGATGTTGAATGTAGATCGGCGGGGCTTGGTCCATGGCACTTCTGACAAGTATACAATTCATAAGGTTCTGTGATGTGTTTAGTCAAGACATTTCTTTCAGGTGCTTCTTCTTGTTGGTGCTTATGAGTGAGCGAAAGAGGTTGTAAAGATATGAGTTATAAGGGCTGGGTCGAAAAAGTCAGTGATGCTGAGATAGCGTCATAAATCCTGACGCTGTGATAGCGCCTTCGCATGCGGTGACGCTCAGAAGATTTGTATGCCATAGTAGGCATGAGGCGGAAAGGTCAGTGATGCTGCGATAGCGTCATACATACACAATATCCTGGTGCTGCGATAGCGCCTTGGGCATGGGTAAGGCTCAGAAGATGTTGAAGGTTTGGAGTCCAGGGCGCCCAAAAAGGGCTGGTCCCGCCACAGCCTCTAATTCTGCGCGCAAACGAGCGCCAGACGGCAGTGTTTGAGGCCGCGGACAAGGTGCCTAACTGCAGCTTCGGCGCCCAAAAAAGAAGCTTGTGAAGGCGCGCCGCAGACGGTTAAGAGTCCAGGGCACCCAAAAATGGGCTGGTCTCGCCGCAGCCTTCCCCCATCTAATTCTGCGCGCAAACGGGTGCCAGACGGCAGCGTTTGAGGCCGCGGACAGGGTGGCTAACAGCGTCGAAACCCATTAAAAATTGACTTGCGAAGGCCTGCAGAGGGTTTGGAGTCCAGTGCACCCAAAAAGGGCTGCTCTCGCCACCACAGCCTTCCTCCATCTAATTCTGCGCGCGAACGCAGCGTTTGAGGCCGCGGACAGGTAGCTAACAGCAGCTCGTAAACTCAATAAACAAAAGCCTGTGAAGGCCTCTGGCAGAGTGTTTGGAGTCCAGAGCGCCCAAAAAGGGCTGGTCTCGTTACAGCCTTCCCCCATCTAATTCTGAGCGCAAACGGGTGCCAGACGGCCGCGGACAGGGCGCTTAACAGCAGCTTCGAAATCCAATGAAAAAAGCTTGCGAAGGCCTGTAGCAGAGGGTTTGGGGTCCAGGGCGCCCAAAAAGGGCGGGTCTCCCCACAGCCTTTTTCTCATGAATGTAATTTTGAGCGCAAACGGGCGCCAGACGGCTGCGGACAGGGTGCCTAACAGCAGCTTCGAAACCCAATCAAAAAAAGCTTGTGAAGTTGTGAAGGCCTGCCGCACAGGGTTTGCAGACGGCAGTGTTTGAGGCCGCGGACAAGGTGCCCAACTGCAGCTTCGAAACCCAAATCATAGGACCGGATAACCCCACATGGTAGCAACTTGGCAAGAGAGAATGTCTATAGGTGGTGGGTGACAATTGGTTGGTGGCAACTGGCGCATGGGTGGCAATTAGTTGGTGGCAAGTGGGTGGCAATTATAGTCGCTAGCAATTGGTTGGTGACTATTGGTTGGTTAGTTGGCGGCGACTGGTTGATGACGATTGGTGGGTGGCAATTGGTTGATGACAATTGGTGGGTGGCAATTGGTTGATGACAATTAGTTGGTGACAATAGTTGGTGGCAATTGGTTGATGACAATTGGTGGGTGGCAATTGGTTGATGACAACTGGTGGGTGGCAATTGGTTGGTGACAATTGGTTGGTGGCAATTGGTTGGTGACGATTGGTGGGTGGCCACGCAAATCACAGCGGCACAGCGGCGGAGACCCAGGCCAGTGGTAGGGCGTACGTCCGACTATCTGGAGAGCAAAGTATCAAATCACAGCGGCGCAGCGGCGGAGACCCAACAGCCCAGCCAGCGCCAGCCAGCGCCAGAACGTACATCGGACCCCCTGGAGAACACCAAATTATTGCGCCTCCCACGCAAATCACAGCGGCGGAGACCCAGCAGCCCCAGCCAGGGCCAGCCAGCGCCAGGGCGTACATCCGACCCGCCGGAGAACGGCGGAGACCCAAGCCAGCGCCAGCCAGCGCCATGGCGTACATCTGACCCACTGGTTGGTGAATTGGTGTGTGGCAATTGGTGGATGGCAATTGGTTGGTGACAATTGGTGGATGGCAATTGGTAGGTGACAATTGGTCACAATCGGTGACAATTGGTGGATAGCAATTGGTTGATGACAATTGGTGGATGACAATCGATCGGTTGGTGGCAATTGGTGGGTGACAATTTGTTGATGATGTTTGGTTGGTGACAATTGGTGGGTGGCAATTGGTTGATGACCATTGGTGGGTGGCAATTGGTTGATGACAATTGGTGGGTGGCAGTCGGTTGATGACAATTGGTTGGTGACAATTAGTTGGTGGCAATTGGTTGATGACAATTAGTTGGTGGCAACTGGTTGGTGACAACTGGTGGGTGGCAATTGGTGGGTGGCAATTGGTTGGTGGCAAGCGGGAGGAGGAAGAGGAGGAGGAGGAAGGAGGAGCCGAGACCACACCAAAAACAAAAACCTCACACGTCAATGTGGTGAAAAAAGAAGAGGGTTTGGAGTTGAGGGCGCCCAAAAAGGGAGCTTGCGAAGGCCTGGCGCAGGTCTCGCCACAGCCTTCCCCCCTCTAATTCTGTGCGCAAACGGGTGCCAGACGGCAGCGTTTGAGGCCGCGGACAAGGTGCCTAACACCACTTCGAAACCCAGTTTTAAAAAAAACGCGCGAAGGCCTGCCGGAGAGGATTTGGAGTCCAGCGCACCCAAAAGGGGCAACGGCCCGCCTAGGCGTCAGCTAGGCCGGGGTCGGCGGATATACTGTATATTTACATGTCTTGAGATGGCGTGCAAAATTGCTGTACTGTGCACCCATCTTGTGCAGGCGTTGGTGAACCATACTCATTCTTTCGCTGTGCAACGCCAGGCCTCTTCTTGCTGGGTGATATTGGAAAAAGAGGTCTTGACGCCCCTGCTCAATGCCACTGCCTTTACTGACCGATTGATATGATTGACTTTCCAATAGTCTGTGAAGATGGGCATTGTTTCAAGCTGTCTCATTGAAATTTTGAATTTGATTGCTTGTGCTTCTAAAATCTTCAAAGACCAAGGTTTGGTTGCGAAGGTAAAGATGTCCAGATTCCTTCCAAAGGGAGCTGGTCTGGGCTTAGGCTGTTTTGCTAAGTGCAAATGCCATCAATGTGTCCAAATGCTTCAGCGAAGGCCTGGAGGCATGGATGTCCAGATTTTTGCCGCAACTGGTCAGCACATGGAAAAGACAAACAGCTCGTGCTTGTCAAGGGCGCTTTCCGCTTTCAATTGAAATCTGACGATTTTTCCTCAAACAGTGTGTCCGCGTGGGGATTCTTACGGTAACTGTAAAGGACGGGTGTTTGATCGAGGCGCCGGCTAACTTGCTGCTATTTACAGTACATGATCTTCTAAATGCATTTCAACTGCGCAGGCTCGCAGAATCTGGTGGGCCGGCGCGGGTGCTCTTCAAGACTGTGCGGGAGCCTTCGAGACTGCGCTCTCGTTGCGGCGCCGTGCATGGTGATCACTTGTCACGGCACGCGCAAGGGAAACCTCGTGTTTTGGTGGTCCAAAGTTGGACAGGTGCAGGAGATTGGAGTTCTTCCTGGTCGATGCACAGATTTCGTGGCAGGCAGTGAGTCGTGACCCTGGACATATTATCGTTTTGAGACATCGGAGGAGGTCTCAAGCGAAAGCCGCGTTTTGGCATCTTGGTGTGGTCTTCGGAAGTGCTCTTGTTGCGAATCGCCTTGGCAGGGCTGCGCGACGTGAAACTTCATGTTCAGGTTTCGTGGCAGGCGCAGTACTTTGCGGACCCTGAAGTTCCAATGTCCAGGCGCAGTGCTGCAGTGCTTTGTGAACATTGAAGTCTTGAAGTGCGGATTTCGTGGGAAGCGCAGCAAATGTGCTCTCATGTGCGCGTGTGCGCGCGCTTTTGCATGTCCTTTCAAATTTGTGCTCCCTAGACCTCCACCTAGATCTGTCAACAGCTCTCTCCACCTCTAGACTCTAGACCTCCACAACTCTTTAAAATTTCTACGCCTTCACAAGCCTCCATCACCACCGCCACCATCATCACCACCACAATCATCATCATCACCACCACCACTACCACCACCACTTTTGCCGCCTTCATCACCAACACCACCATCATCACCAACACCGCCATCATCACCATCATCACCATCACCACCACCATCACCATCACTATCACCATCACCATCACCATCATCACCGCCATCACGACCAACACCTTCACCACCATCACCACGATCACCACCATCATCACCACCATCGCCAGACCTTCTGCTTCTGCACCTCAAGACGCTAGACCTTCAGACGCACTGTTTGGGGTCTCTTGCCCGGAATCTTTTTCCCGGGGTAACAAAACGTCAATGACTCCAAACCATGAGAAACCATGAGATAACTGCCACATGGACTTGGCATGGTTCGTTCCTACTTGTTCCCGTTCCGAACTTCTAGAACCTAGAAAATTCTGAAGAAAACTCTTGACGGCAATGCTCTAGCAAACGATAATATCCTTTGGTCTCTACACAATATGGGTTGGCTCCCTCGACCTGTGGATAAACGAGGGGGACCCAAGGCACGATGAACTACCAGGAGTTTTTTAGCCATGAACTTTTGGACCCAACCCCATGTGTTGCACACAGGGACCCGTGGCTAAACAACCATGGGCCCAACATCTTTTCGGCTAACAAAAATTAGCCATATCCCAGGGGAAAAAACAAAAATTAGAGGCACCCAACCACAGCCACATGTACACACCTGTGTAAGCTCAGCATCCCTCATCTGAATTTTTTGTAAAGTTTCACTGCGCCAGCGGCTTAGGTCACGGATAGCGAGGTAGTCAACAAAATTGAACATGTGGTCTGGCTGATTAAAGCGGATATCAAAGACCGAAAAAAAATATTAAAGAACTAGACATCTCCAAAACTCAAGGTGGGTGGGTTTCAGCCTTTGTGGCCAATTGTGGGAAGGGTGTTTTACAGGTGTGTGATTGGATTGTGTGTTGGCAAGGTGCTTGGATAAAATGAACGAGCCCCAAGACCTCACAAAGCACAACATGACCAAAAGCCCTAGGTGGGGTGGATTTCAGCCTATTCTGGCAGAGGTGTGTGTCGTTGTTGTGGTGGTGGTTCTTTGTGGTGGTAGCTGTTGTTTGGCCAAAATGCCTGTCATTGCTTCATGGTGGATAGATGTCACAGTCTTTGTGGACAGGAAGGGTGGGTGCGTTGTTGTTTGGATTGTAGCTAAATTGGATTGCGTGGCTTGGCTAAAATGATGGGTAGCCAACATCTGAAGGTCTTGATCTAGGGTACTTGTGACTCCTCAATATAGTTCAAATAGTAAAATGTGCCCAAACTTTTATATCTACCCCAGACATCTCAAATCCGTATGATTTGTCCATCCTCAAATGGCCCATGTGCTGGCTAAAAAAATTACTGTAGTTTCCAGGGGCTCAAGCCCATAGGATCCTAGCCAGGGTAGTGGGCGGAGGATCGATAATGTGATTTTTTCTCAATGGCCTTTTTCGGGTGTTTCGAGTCCATTGTGTCCAAGCCGTGTCTCAGCAAGGCGCCCTGTTGCTTTTCGACTGCTTTGGCATGATCGCCGTGGAGCTACTGCTGCCGTCACCTGAGCAGTTTGATTATGCGAAGGGAAGATCTCAAACACTCTTTGTATGAAACGTTCTTTGTAGACAGCGCACAGTTTGCGTAAATTTGAGATTGAGATGATTACTGATTACTGTAAATGATTTATTACGTGCTGTCTTGTCGACATCCCAAATGCAGAGGATGCCTTTGGAGGACCTCAAGCAGGAAGCGCAAGTAGCCCTTCAGGTGCCTTTCCCAAACTGTCCATTCCGTTTTCGTCTCACTCTTCAGCTCCGGAGGTGAAGGCCTCTATGTTTGGCGGCCAGTCCCTCCAAGCGATCTATTTGTCGCGCCAGGAGATTTTGGTTTAACATGGAAGCGGAGCGAACAAAATAACTTAAAGGAACAAGGATAGTTTTTGCTTGTTTTTCAGGCGCAGTGTGTACGGCAGACTCTTCAGAACCTCGGGGCGTGGAAATCCGTTGTGTCACTGGGCATGCAACATGGAGCCGTTGTAGCAAAAAGAAGGAAGTTTGTGGCGGAGTTGAAGAATTGGAAAAATATAGAGGAATATTGGAAGACTTTATACAATATATTACATTACATGATATTGTAATATTTTTATAGTTATATGTCCTTTTCAATATGATAAACAACACACCATATGACCACATCAACGTGTTCAAAGATATACAGTAACAGCAAGTGAAGAAAGGTCTAATGAAGGAAAAATCTGTTTTGGAATTTATTGGACCTGTGTTTCTTTGTCCCTGAGCCGTTAGCCGTTTTTGAGTTCCATCCTTGTGAGGTGCCTCGTGCTTGGCTTGTGAGAGGAGATAGTCTGGGACCAGCTCTTTGGACAAACGATCGGTCATGCCCTAAGAATCTACAACCTTCTACAACAAGAGACACAGACCGACCCAGACAAAGAAGACAAAGCAGATACACTTGACAACCAGGTACACTATATAATAAGCAAGTTAAGCAGCACAGTCATTGTGTTTCACGTTTGATTGATTGTCCCAACCATTGTCACTGGGCCCTAGACGAGAAACGCTGTCCCTGATCAAAAAAGTAGAATCAAAGAGACTCTTGAAAATCAGAATATATAACAGAATTTGGACTTGGAATATCCATAAAGTTGAAAGCCAAAGCTTGGACTAGAACAACCCAACCAGCAAGCTCCTTCGACTTGTTTGGTAGCATACTGTTGATTCGCAAGACAACCACCTGCGCCTTGATTGTTTGCAACCGAGACACGGTAGCTTGCGCATGCAGCAATGACCTCTACCTGCTTTTGTTCTTATCCTGCTCTAGGCCCATGTGAAAGGGGGTTTGTCCTATGTGCAAAGGCACTAACCCTGAAGACTCCTGGGCTTGGATCATTACAGTATGTTGGTATATGTTGGTTTCTTGACTTTGCACTTTGAGAATGTAATTGAGGGTGAAACCGTGGAGTGTGTTCCAAGGAGGCAAGAATCCGCAAGACAATCTTTACAGATTATATATATAGTCTAAAACTTTGCTTCAGATCCTTTTAGTCGTACCAAGGCACGAAGTGAAAGTGCAGGAAGGGCTGGGTGAGGAACTTGGTGCAGTAATCTATATTGTTTTGCTTTCCCCTTGCCGTGTTTGCAGGTGGAGTGATCGCATGCCCTACTGAGAACCTCAGTCATTTGCCTTGCTGGACGTTCATATCTCACCAGTTCTTTGCGGGCACGTGAAGCCAAAAGAAGCTAGCAGCGCTGTAGATGACCCTTCTGTTTTGTTGCTCCATCTTACAGGTGCGCTCTTGATGCCAATACATACTTGCAATGTCTTGGCCGCAGATTCTTTTAGAATGAGGCTAAATGGAAGCCTTCCAGTTGTTGCGGCTGTTGTTTTGATTCAATACTTGTACTGTACTGAAAAACAACACTGCTCAAGATCTGTGGGAAGTCTTGCATTTGTAAATTCCTTTTCACAGACAATCGTTTCAGCCCTTTTCCCTGACATGGACAAACCACTCGCAGACTTCTCGCCCATGGCGGCAAGTACAGCAAAACCTGCAACTCTTTTGCGACTCATTTAAGGGCAAACAAACTTGACTTGCTGACACTTCAGAAGTTGTCAATGCTGATTCTGAATTTGAATTGTCTTGTGGTTAAGGAGATGTGTTTAGCAGGTGCCATTCAGGGTTGGCGATCTCTACAACTTATTGCATCTCACTGCAGTGACTTTGATTGTATTTACCACTAAGGAGTGTGTAATATTTGTATTGAGAACAGTTTAGCAGAAGTTGACAATGGTGTCCAGCAAAGCACAGTTTGGGGGGCAGACTAGCAAATGAGGATATGACTCATGACTGATGATCACTGTGCTTTCCGACTGGAAGGCTCCATGGTGTCTTCCCCAGCTTTGCCTAGCTTTGCGCAGTTTGGGCCGCTGGTCTCTGGAGACTCGTCAATTGTTGACATGGTAAGTTCTGCACATTTACAAAGTAGAGTTTGCCCGTGGTGTGCGAAATCTTTCTTGTCCAGCCAGGAAGCTCAGCACTTGCTTCTTCCTGTTTTGCCTCAAGGCCACAAGACCTCGGGCTTGCTGGGCCGGGCAACAAGATGAAGCGAAAAGAAAATTGCAAAGTCAATAGCGGACAACAGAAAAGAAAACATAAAGACTACAGAGATGACAAGTTGGGCAAGGGTAAGGCCGGTAAGGCCGCCTTGATTAGGGCCCCTGTTAATATTATCAAAGAGCCTTTACCATGATTATCGTTCCAAGTCGAGTACACAATCCAAACAGCTCAGCTGATTCAAGCTGATGTCATAGAAAAGGCACTGGGTGAGGCCTTCAAAGTTGCCGTGACCGTCCGCAGTCATGCAACGCTCGTGCATAAACCAAGCTTTGTCTGGCATGGCTACCCAAATCTCTTTCCTTATTCGCACCCGCAGGCAGCAAAGCTCATTTTGGCAAAACGAGAGCAACAAAAAATCCAAATTGATGCACATCGACTGACACTCGCAGCCTTTACAAACATCATAGATGATGCTCTCAACATGCAGGGAAAGGCCCACGCAAGCCCTGCCCTTGGTCGCTCCCTTGAGGGCCTCCATCAGGTCTGGCATGTTATCAAACAACTCCACTCGCCTGACACTTTAATTACATCATTCTGATTCCTGAAGAATTGTTCTTGTGTTTGCTTTCAACGTTGACATGTTCAAGGTTTTCCAGTTAACTTTGCATGCCCAGCGTCAGTCAAGATCTCCAGATTTGCAACAGATTTCACTTGGCCTTGCAAACTACCCTTAGTTCCTTCAGCTTATGGCAAATCACCTGCTGAAGGCAAAGTCCACATTTGGAGCCACGCAGGAGCTGCTTGCCAACTTGTGTCTGCAGAATATTTTACCTGAGAGTCTGATAGCGAAGGATACTGTCTGCAGGTTGCTCCAACCAAGAATGCCATTGACAACTAGTCTCAGGGTATTGAAACTCACGACCAGTGGCTGGCTTTATGTCCCTTGGTCTTCTTTGCTTGAATGGCCGCCGCGTCGTGCGCAGCGTCCCAGCGGTGTCAATACAGAATAAAAGCATTATCCGAATATTTGCAAATCCAGGGGCTAATAGTGGCTAACATGGCTCAACTCGCAGCATGATCCAACATACAACTGCTGATTTTACAAAGTCACGCGTAGTTTTTGCCAATGTTTCGCTACCTTTGCTGTAGCTTTGATGCCGCCGCCGGTGCATCAACAGGCCGCGCAGGTGGTGCAAAGGCGCAGTGGCAAAACAGGAGGCTGAAGCAGCTCAGTTGCTGCTGGGCTTTCATTCAATGATGCCGCCTTGGCTGGCTCCTTTGAGTGCTGCTTCAATGAAGGCTTCTGCATGAATTCCTCACTGCCTCGCGACTTCTCTTTCTGCTCCTCTTTGATTGCCCCTTGTCCTTCTCCGGACATTGCTGTCATAGCAAAAACGATGTCCAGGGCGCAAGTTTGGATGGAGAATTTGGTGGAAGCCTATCAAAAATATCGCGGCTGCGTCCACTAACGGGTCTTGCAAAACCGCATAAACAAATACGACGAAAGAGATCTGCGAGAAAAATACAACATCAATGACAAATACCAAGTTAGCTCATAGATATTACAGTAACTACTTATATATTTACATCCCCATAGATATAACTAGACAATAGTTAATTTATACATGTAATTTATAACTTACTTGTAATTTACTTTAGTACGCTAGCTAACTTTTAAACCGCATAACTAAAGCAGCCCTTACAGTAACCCTAATGCAACAAAACGCCTGCAACAAAACGCCGCAGCCTTATAATTCACTGCCCTGCCACGAAAATACGCAACGCCCTCGTGTCGAAAAGTAAATTTTTGCGCCAGACCACACGCGTGGAATCACTTCTACACTTTCCTGCGTCGCCCACATTGACATCAGCCAAAAACAATTAGCCATCCAAGACCAGAAACTAACAGATACGTACAGATACGTTGACCGGACCTGCAGTCAAAAATCCTTAGCAAAACAATGGCTGCTCAGGAGACACTATTAAATAATGGCGGTTGGAGGAACTTGACTTGTCACGGAAACACAGCTTCCAAGCTTGCCCCAGAGCAAATCTCAATGGCACTTTGACATTCAACACCCAAAGACCCAGCTCAAAATGCAAAAACTCGCCCCGGAACATCACACGCCGACGTTGCAAAACACTGCGCTTGGAGAAGTCATGTTTCCAGGGCCCCGGAAAACTCAAAACCGCCCACTGCGCCAGAGCTCTCCTGACATGGTCGAAGGACTGCTGGTCGCTGATGTTACGATTGAGGCTGCTCCTTGACTTCTCCATTAATTTGCCGCTGGCGCCGTTCAACTTCTTCTTCCAGCTTTTTGATTTGCTTGGCCAACTTCTTGGTTTTTTGGGGCTCCTTTTTAGCCATTTTTGCCTAACGTGACAAAACTCGGATTTAGCATTTTAAGTTAGGTTAAAGATGCATCTTTCTATTTTTCAACTTAATGTAGTGTCCTTCCCGTCCTTTTTCTTGCTCTGAAGGAGGCGCACGAATGGAATAGTGCATAATTGTTTTCTCTCATCACCTCTCCAACCTTCGTCGTTGTCCCCATCTTGAAGCGCGTTCATGAAGCGGCGTGCGCGCAGAAGGAAAGGCAGTTAAGTTACATTCATGGCAACCAGCTGTCAATTCATTTGAACCAGCTG